CCCGGAGCTTACTCAAACTCATGTCCATCGAGTCGGTGATGCCATCCAGCCATCTCATCCTCTGTCGTCCCCTTCTCCTCCTGCCCCCAATCCCTCCCAGCATCAGGGTCTTTTCCAATGAGTCAGCTCTTCGCATCAGGTGGCCAAAGTATTGGAGTTTCAGCTTCAGCATCAGTCCTTCCAATGAACACCCAGGACTGATCTCCTTTAGGATGGACTGGTTGGATCTCCTTGNACACACTATTATAGATACCCTATTACAGATACACATGCTATTTCATATATACACACTACAATATATACATGCACACTATTATATACACACAATTATATATATATATACACACACATTATTAAATAATACACTAACATACACACACTAGTGTATATACACAGACACTATTATACAGACACATTATTATATACATGTGTGTGTGGATGTGTGCTCAGTTGGGTCCAACTCTTTGTGACCCCATAGACTGTAGCCCACCAGGCCCCTCTGTCCATGGGATTCTCCAGACAAGAATACTGCAGTGGGTTGCATTTCCTCCTCCAGGGGATCTTCTCAGCCCAGAGACTGAACCTCATCTCTTGCGTCTCCTGCATTGGCAGGGAGATTCTTTACCACTGCACTACTTATTACATATATACACACACACTATTATACACACACACATGCTATTATATATGAATACAATTATATATACACAGACTATTACATATACACACACTGATATATATTCACACACTGTTTTATGTATATACACACTATTATTTTTTTTAATTTATTTTTTAATTGGAGGATAATTGCTTTACAGAATTTTGTTGTTTTCTGTCAAACCTCAGCATCAATCAGCCATAGGTATACATATATCCCCACCCTCTTGAATCTCCCTCCCATCTTCCTCCCCATCCCACCCCGCTGGGTTGATACAGAGCCCCTGTTTGAGTTTCCTGAGCCACACAGCAGATTCCCTTTGGTTATCTATTTTAGATATGGTATACACACTATTATATATACACACACTATTATTTAGATTATTATATATACTGATATTATTATATAGATAAAATTTTATAGACACACACTATTATGTATACACAGTATTATAGACATGCACACTATTATAGACACATTTATATATACACAAACTATTACAGATACACACTATTATATACAATTATATATGCACCCTGTTTTATATATACACGCATTTTTATATACGCACCATTGTGTGTGTGTGTGTGTGTGTGTGTATACACATATATATATGGGATTCCCTGGTGGCTCAGATGGTAAAGAGTCTGCCTGCAGTTCAGGAGACCCAGGTTCAATCCCTGGGTGGGGAAGATCCCCTGGAGGAGGAAATGGCAATCCACTCCAGTGTTCTTGCCTGAAAAATCCATGGCTGGAGGAGCCGGGTGGGCTACAGTCCATGGAGTCGTAAAGAGTCGGACACCACTAAGCACCTTCGCTTTCTTCACTTTCACTTAACTATATATATGTATACAGACACTATTATATAGACACACACTATTATAGGTACACACAGTATTATATATACACACACACTGTTACAAATACACACATATATATACACATTGTATATATTATACAGACACACACTATTATGTACATATTGTTGTTGTTTAGTCACTAAGTCATGTCCGACTCTTTTGTGACCCCAAGGACTGTAGCCAGCCAGGCTCCTCTAAGCATGGGATTTTCCAGGCAAGAAGACTGGAGTGGGTTGCATTCCACTCCAGTGGGAACCCTTTCTCCAGGGGCTCTTCCCAACCAAGAGATTGAACCCACGTCTCCTGCATTGGAAGGCGGATCTTTACCACTGAGCCACCAGGGAAGCCCTTTTACATATATATATAGAGAGAGAGAATATTTATACATACAAACACACTATTATACACCCAATTATACATATTCACACACTATTACAGATACCCTATTACAGATACACATGCTATTTCATATACACACACTACAATATATACATGCACACTATTATATACACACAATTATATATATATATACACACACATTATTAAATAATACACTAACATACACACACTAGTGTATATACACAGACACTATTATACAGACACATTATTATATACATGTGTGTGTGGATGTGTGCTCAGTTGGGTCCAACTCTTTGTGACCCCATAGACTGTAGCCCACCAGGCTCCTCTGTCCATGGGATTCTCCAGACAAGAATACTGCAGTGGGTTGCATTTCCTCCTCCAGAGGATCTTCTCAGCCCAGAGACTGAACCTCATCTCTTGCGTCTCCTGCATTGGCAGGGAGATTCTTTACCACTGCACTACTTATTACATATATACACACACACTATTATACACACACACATGCTATTATATATGAATACAATTATATATACACAGACTATTACATATACACACACTGATATATATTCACACACTGTTTTATGTATATACACACTATTATATATATATATATATACACATGACTATGTATATAATACGTATATACACACTTTGAGTTATATCTCAATGAAGTGTTAATACCAAAGCCAGCCCCTCAGACAGTCTGGAGAAGCTGCAGCGTGCACTGAGGTAAGCCCCGGCCCATGGGCAGGTTCCGAGGGAGCCATCCCCGGAACCTGCCCTGACCACAGCCCTCTCAGTTATGGGAGCCGCCTTGCTGGAACCAGGTCACACCGCCAGTTCGGGACGGGCCATGTCCAGTCCAGCGTGTGTGGGGCTGTAGGGCCTCACGGGGTCAGATGAAACCCGTGGGCCCCTGCTGGGGGGAAGCAGGAAGCACGTGGGGCACTTTGAGTATGATTTCAGGGTGCCCTGGTCTCCAGGTTGGGGTGTCCGTGTAGGGGTCGCTCACCGGGTCCTATGCGGCAGACGGACAGAGAAGGATGGGGAGACATGGTGGGGAGCTGGCTCCACTGACGGGATCCCCACATCCAGAAACCCTGCCTCGGTCCTTCCCCCCCGTGTCCCCAGGGCTCTGGCACCAAGATGGGCCTGGACGACTGGGGCCTCACAGTGGCCCTTGCTGGGTCTGACGCGACCCTGCTGGTTCTCAAAGTGCACACGGGCCTTGGCCAGCCTCCCTCCATCAGGGCAGACGGGACAGCCTCTGAGAGCTGCAGACTTGCCCTGTGCCTTCAGGGGTGCAGGTGGGGGACGCCACACGGGAGCCCGTGGGCTGCAGCCACAGCTTATCAACTGATGACCACCGATGAGCTCCGTGTTCTTAATTGGTGCCGCGTTACTGGCTTTGCCCCCACGAGCTTCCTGCCCCTCGTCTGTCGTGATGACAAGCACGGGTTCCCGAGGGATCATCCACAGGGCGCCGCTTCTCCACTTCCACTCCGAGGGGCCCAGGCAGCAGCCACACTGAGGGACGCAGTCTTTCCCTATTGCTTAGAAACCATGTGAGGGAAGAACTTCCCCAACACTGCGTTTTTACTCCTAGGCTAATTCTGTCTTGGCGGCCCGCTCCCAGGTGAGGCGGCGGGCTGGCGGGCGGGGGGGATCCTGGAGGCGGCTGCTCCGGGCCCTGCACTCCTGCTCATGTGATGACGTGCATGATCTCTGTGTACGGCACACCCTGTTTTCTTGTAAACTTGTGTCCTGGTTAGCACAGGGGCAGTCTGAAATAAACAGAACCCCGTGGCTTACAAGGTAGCAAGGGGTCTCCAGGTGGAGCCCATGGAGTGGGTCCCATGGGCGCCAAGGGTGTGTGGCTAGGCTGCTCAGAGCGCTCCGGGGAAGGGAGGAGGCCCCTGGAGGATCAGGCTGTGATCATCTCGGGGGACTGGCTGTTGGGAAGCAGACCCCTGGAGCCAGGACAAGAGGCAGGAAGAAGTGGAACCCAGAGGCAGGTGAGACCCTCCATCTGGGTGACCCAGCCCTGCCCCCAGCGTGTCTCATGCGGACTCAGCTGGGGAGGGACAGGCCTGAGCGCCGGGCCAGAGGCTGTCCCTCTTCAAGTTTCTGGGCCGTACATCAAGCTCGTTTGGAGTCGTGGCCCCTGTGTCCAGCCTGGGGTGTGGGGTCCCCACGCTGGGTCTGTGCCCCCACACAAGGGCAGTGCTATCACCAACTCTGAGTAACTGTGGGGAACCATCACCCTGAGTGCTAAGGGGAGTTGGGCCCCGCCTTCTCTCAGCGCCTGGAGACCACGGCTCCCACCCACTAGGGGAGGTTTTCTCAAGACTCCCTGGGTGTGTCTCCTCCACGTCCACAGGGTTAGCAGCACCAGCCTGTGGAGGCACTGTGGTGGCCGGGACAGGGTCTGGAGGGAAGAAATGCTGGGCTGGGGGCCAGGGGCCAGCAAACCCATCCTGGCCTGTGTCCTGGGAACAGGAGCTGCGCAGCTCTTGGCTCAGCCAGGTTGAGCAAGGCCCCTTCACACAGGGTGGGACAGAGGCTAAGCGGTCGCCTGGGGCAGGTCAGAGCTAATGTACAGGCAGGCTGCACTCCTTGGGCCCTGGCAGCCTCTCTGTGCCAGGCCGGCGGGTCCCACCCCTTCCTGCTCCAGGCCGGCCACCTGGAGCACAGCCCACTTTGCGCGCTGGTGGAGGTGGCATCAGTTCAGTTCAGCTCAGTTGCTCAGTCATGTCCGGCTCTTTGCGACCCCATGGACGACAGCATGCCAGGCTTCCCCGCCCATCAGGGAAGAGCCACCCCAGAACCCTCGTCTCTGCTCAGGGTCACACTGAGCACCAGCCCACCCCTGGAGGCTGAGACGAGTCAGCCTGGGTCTAGTCTGTGGCCAGGACCTGGGGAGGAGGGGTCCTCAAGCAGGACTGGGCTCGTCCCAGGCCAGGTCCCGCTCTCGAGTGTGGCCTGCCCTGTGCCCGCAGTGGCTGGAGGGCACCAAGACCCTGGAGGGGCTGTCGGGTGAGATGCCCTCCAGTGAGGTGTCAGGCGCCCTGTCCTGGCCCGTCCCATGCCCTCACCACCTTCCTGTCTCTCCCACCCAGGACTTCCCATTCCCGGGCCAAGGCGGAGGCGGCCCTCACCGCGGCCCAGAAGGCCCAGGAGGAGGCGCGCATCGCCCGGATCACTGCCAAAGAGTTCTCCCCTTCCTTCCAGCACCGGGAAAATGGTGAGTCCGTGTGGCCGGGGTCCCCGGATGCCTCCCATGGGCTGTGCCCCAGAGCCCCCTGCCAGCCCATTGCATCCCTCCTGCCTGCCTCTCCCCCAAGACTCCAGTGTGCTCCGTGCCCCACCAGGGCTGTTCTAAAACTCTGTCCCTGCTCTGTCCAACCAGGTGGCTGCCCGCCACGCAGAAACTGTGGCCACTGTGGCCCCTGGCCTGCTCTTCAGTCCACATTTAAACATCAGCGGCCACACATGACCAAGCTGGTGGCCGAGCTGGTCAGTGAAGCTCGGAGATACTCAAGGGGCACCCACCTGTCCTCTCGGAGTGGGGAATGGATGAAAGGAGTTAGAAGCCCCTCGAGTCAGCCAAGATCCTCCTCCCTCCTCGGGAGCGGTGGGGGGTGACTGGTCCAAGGGTCTGCCAAGGCCGAGGTCTTTCCTAGCAGCCCGCTCCTTACCCTCCTCACACAGCTCAGGATCACTCCTCTAGACACACGTTTCTGAGAACAACTAGAAGGCTCTTGAGGCGCTGGGGTGGGCTCTTGAGGTCCCGTCCTGGGACCACCCTCCAGAGCTCTGCTCTCAGCCCTGCCTTTGGGGCAGCCTAGAGAACCCCAGAACCCAAGATGGGGACACAGGCAGTGGGACTGTCACTTAGGCTCCACGTCCTGCCTTGCGGAAAGTCACCCAGCATGAGATGTTCTGTCCTCAACAGGAACGCATGGGGGTGCAACCTGGGGATGCACTCTCAGGTCAACCCTGCAGCTGGGGGCCACCCCCTCATCCTGATCCAGTCACCCTCAAAAGTGCCCACAGATGAGAATGGGTGTCTTCTCGGGGCTTTGAGAACACTGTCCTCCCACTTTCTCTGCCCCGCCTGCCCCACTCCCAGGTGGCAGGCAGTGAGTGCCACCTGGCCCAATCCTGGTCCCCTCCATTCTCAGGCGAGACTGGGCCTGAGCACAGAACACCCGAGTAACCAGCCCACCCTAACCTGTCTCCTCCCTGCCGCAGGGCTAGAGTACCAGCGGCCGAAGCATCAGCTTTCCAGCGACGACATCGAGGTGACCTCCACGGGGACACCCCCGCAGCAGGAGAGCCCCGAGCTGTACCGCAAGGGCACCACCCCCTCGGACCTGACCCCCGACGACAGCCCCCTGCAGAGCTTCCCCGCCAGCCCCACGGCCACCCCACCCCCGGCCCCCGCCGCGAGGAACAAGGTGGCCCACTTCTCCCGGCAGGTCTCGGTGGACGAGGAGCGGGGCGGGGACATCCAGATGCTGCTGGAGGGCCGGGGAGGGGACTACGCCCGCAACAGCTGGGCCGAGGAGAAGGCCGGGGGCTCCCGCGGCATCCGCAGTGGCGCCCTCCGCAGCAGCCAGCCCGCGGATGACTTCCGCATCCGGGGCGCGGGCCACAAGCAGTCCGGCAACCCCAAGCCCCGGGAGCGGCGGACGGAGTCCCCCACCACGTTCTCCTGGACTTCCCACCACCGGGCCGGCAACCCCGGCCCCGGGGGCCCCAAGCTGCTGGAGCTGGACGAGGAGAAGCTGAGCAACTACGAGATGGAGATGAAGCCCCTGCTGAGGATGGACTCGTATGCACAGGACGTGCACCCCCCCAAAAGACGCTACAGCAAGGGGGGCGCCGGCCGGGGCCCCGGGGAGGACCACCGCGCCGACGACCGGACCTTCGGGGCCCAGAGACTGCGGTCCAAGTCCCAGAACAAAGAGCACGCCAGGCCGGCCCCCTGCACGGAGCCCGCAGTGCAGAGGCTGGAGAGCCTGAGGCTGGGGGACCGGGCAGAGCCGCGGCTGCTGCGCTGGGACTTGACCTTCTCCCCGCCCCAGAGGTCCTCGCCCGTGGCGCTGGAGTCTGACGACGAGAACGGGGACGAGCTCAAGGCCAGCACGGTGAGTGGGCACCAGCCGTCCGCGGCGGGGTCGGGGATGGGGGCTGGGCGGCGAGAGCCTGACCCGGCGCATCCAGCTCTCAGGACCCTCCGCCGCAGGAAGCCCACCTACGGGGATTCCCGAACTGCCTCTGATAGGTCCCCGCGAGGGTTACTCCCCCGGGCCATCTTTCCAGCAAAAGCGCTTGGGTGGTTCTGAAAGCTCCCGCAAGAGAAACGGGCACCCTGGAACACCCCCCCGCCCAACCTTCCTTCAGCTTTCTCGGACCTCTCCCCCTGCTGTCCTCACCTTTAAGGAAAGTTCTGTGTCCTGGAGGGAAACCCAGAGGCCAGACAGAGCAGGCGGGACACACGCATGTCCGCTCCCACGTGGGTGAGATGGACACAGTGCCTCGGGCTGGTGGGATCAGATAGGCGAGGCAGGCTGTGACCCAGGTTCCTGGGGCCCTGTGGGGGGTGGGGTGCCTCCTGCTCAGCTGTGAGGTCCACGTTGTCTCGTGCACGCCCCCCCCCACGGAGGGCAGGCGGTTTGGAGGAGAGGACAGAGGCCTGAGCCAGACTGAGTGCTGGGGCTCTTGCACCCCGAGGGACCCCCCCCAGGTCCCTTGCTCCCCCCACCGCTGGCTCGCTCCCACCTGGAAGCAGACGCCCCCTGCTTCCTCGACCGCATGATGGCAGGCAGGACCCATGAAACCTCTCCGACTACAGCCCAGCGGCTGACGGACGCCCTATGTGACCAGCCCTTGGGGCCCCTCGCAGCGTGCTCAGCCCCCAGCAGCCACTGTGAGCCTGGAGGGCTGGTCCTGAGACGTGCCCGCCCTCTCTGAACTCAGGCGGTCCTCGCGGACCGAACGCCCAGCTCTCTTCCAGAAACTCGCATGGTGTGTGTGCACATGCACACGGTTAGTTTAGGAAGCCGAGCATCGGGCAGGGTGGGAGATGCAGGAAGGGCTCTATATTTAGCCCCCTGAACCACGCTCCTGCTTTAAAACCTCTTAAAGCGCGTCTTGGGTGCTTTAAGACAAAGCTACTTACAGGAGCGCCACCAGTGCCGAACCCCTCCATGGAAAGGCTTCCCACAGCGACCTGGGGTGGCCGGGGCAGCCGCTCTGTTCTCCCTGTACAGCCCTGGGGCCTGCAGAGGCTTGAGGATGAAGGGCCCCGGGAGGGAAGGGCCAAGGTCTGCGTGCCCCGGTGGGCTTCCTGCCCCAGGACTGCACAGGGCGCTCCCGTGGCTGCACACCGCCAGCTCAGGGAGAGGACTGAGAGAGCTCCGCCCTCCCTGGGTTGGGGCCACGCTTGGGTAGAGGGGCCGCTTCTGAAGACTGGTTGTGCAGAGCTGGAGGCAACGACACCGCAGGCCAGGGGGCGGCTGTGTTCAGAGACCCGGGGCGGGAGACGTGCAGACCTGAAGGGCTTCAGAGTCCAGACTTGGACGCTCATGGGAGCCTCTGACCGGTTCCTAAGCGATCCATGTCCATTTCCCCCCACCCAGCCCCCTGGGAACCCCTAGTCTGGCTCAGGAGGAGGGGCACGCCACAGGCTCACCTCACCTTTTCGCCTTCTGTTTCAGGGCTCGGCGCCGATCCTGGTTGCCATGGTGATCTTGCTAAACATCGGAGTTGCCATTTTGTTTATTAACTTTTTCATCTGAGGAGATTGTCACGTTCGCAAAAAAACAGTTGGGGTACAAACGGGGGACGTTTCAAAGCGAAACAACAAAAGGGAAGGCTCGTCGCTCGGACACCCAATGACAACTTCCGAGTCTTTTCACAGAACCACACGATTGGGTATTACTCACAGTTTGCCTTTTTTTCTGGGTAATGTTTTTTGGATTTTAGCCACAGTTCCTTGCTTGTATAACACTATGCTGTGTGGCATGGCAGAAGGAGGCCAGCACGCCGACCCTCCAGCTTGACGTGGAAAGAAAAGGGATCCCGGCAAGTTCGCGGCAAAAAAAAAAAAAATCAAACCGTCGCTGTCATCACACTTCATCTGGGATGTGGAGGGGGCAGCCTGGGCGGAGGATCAGTGGTCCAGCTGTGGGGGGCGGGGCGGGGGCCAGCGGCTGGGGATGGCCGCACATGGGGAGTCCGGTAACCCTACGTTCCTGTTCTGGACGAGCGTGTGACAGGCGTGGGCATCCCCCTGGGCCTTGTTCCATCTCAGACCTCTGCTGTACACCCCGGGGGGCGCCCGTGAAGCCATCACACCCTGGCCCCTGGCGCTGCCCCATGGCCCTCTAGAGGCCGCCTCCCCACACCGTCTTACAGCAAAGTCCTTATTTTTCTGTCTCTCCCTCCCCCACCAACCCAGGCCCCCAGGGCTGCTGCACAGTGGGCTTCCAGGGGACTGGCAGTGGGGGCAGGGGAGGGGGCACATTGTGGTTGGGGGCCGGGGGGAGACCTCACGGGGACAGCCTGTTGTCGGGCCGGGCCCCAGCACGTGGCGTTGGTGCACTGCGGGCGCAAGTGCCTGTCCAGGCTCCTGCCGAGGTCCACAGCCTGGTCGGCCCCACACCACGTGGTCCTCTCTGGCTGTCTCTGAGCCCATGGTCTCCACCTCGTCCTGTGCCTGCCTCCACTGCCCCGGCAGACCCGCATTTTCCTCCTAAATGCCTCACACGCACTCAGGGGCTGGTCGGGTCCCAAGACAGGAATGTGGTCACAACCCAGGGGGGGCTTGACAGCTCCTGAGCAGTCATGACATATCCACCTCCAGAATATGCAACGTACTTGTTTCAGCCCCACAAGACCAGGTTCTGGTGTGTCTGCCGCCAGCGCTGTCCACTGTCCAAACTAAACACCAAGGTCCCAGACCGTCTGGGTGCCCGCCCGGCGGGCGCGTGCGTGGACGCGTGTGTGGGGCCCGCGCTCAGCCTGGGGGGGCCCGGGGCTCGGCGCCCGTGGGCTCTGCTTGCTCTGCTTTTGTTCAGCTGTCTCTCTGCTACGTTTCGAGCAGATTTCTTTACTACACTGCACTGGATTGCTATATTTTTAACCAGAAATAAACTAAAGATTAGAGCATGTTCCAGTTAAATTCAGTTCTATTTTTTTTTTTTTTTCTGTTACAGACTCACCCCCTGTTCCTTTTCCCAGTTGGGTTGAGTTTGGGGGTCTTCTTTGGGGGAGTGGGGGACACAAGAGAGGGAGGGAGGATCTGCAGAAGATACATTTCTGATGCTGTTACTTTCTAAAGGGATGTTCCATGTTTTTGTACATCTTTGGTTCTTTTTTTTTTTTTACTACCGCGTGGTTGCCGCAGCCCTGGAGAGAACCAAATAAACATGCCTGCTCCTCGCAGCTCTGCGCGTCTGTCCATGATGGGTGTGTCCTGTGATTCCGTCTGCAACACTTGGTAAAGGTCAGAGACCTCTGGTACCTTCTGGGCACTGCAGGACCCAGATGGTACCCACACAGGCAGGGCACATACTCATTCACACGCAAACATCCTGAGCCACCTGCAAAACAGTGGCAGCACAAACGTCCATCATTCAAGGCAGGGGTCTCACCAGGGGCAGGCTGGTGTCCTACCCCGCGTCCATCTGCTGGCAGCACCCCTGAAAAGCGAAGCAGCACCCGCCTGGACTGCTGCCATTTCCCTGCACCCAGGGAATCCCAAGTGGGTTCCACCCAGACCATCACACCCTGGGGCCGATGGGCTCCACAAGCTAGTTTCTAACTGGTTTCCAGACGGTGGTCAAAGACTGGACTGCCCCGCAGGCTGGCCGGCCTACCTGTCAGCACCCCGGGTTTCCCAACAAGCACGTCCACAGGCTCCCTCAGGGCCAGGCCGGCTGACCCACCACTGCCGGGCACATCCCTGGTGGACACGCGGGACGGGGAAGAACGAGTGGAGCGGCGGCCCCAGTAGTGCAGAGCGCTGGCAGGCTTTAATTAACCCCAAAGCAGCCTCGCGAGAGGCGTCTTGTCCCCTGACAGCTGCTTCCGAGCTCGAGATGTGAAAACCAGGGCGGAGAAACCGAGACCTGGGCTGCTCGGCTGGGCCTTGGAGAGTGGGGCCGGGCTGTCCCCAGGCTGGGAGCTGCACCTGCACCCAGACAACTGACAGGGAAGATGGAGTCCATGCAGAAGAGCTCAGCGTGGCTGCAGGAACACAAGTGGGCCTGCTTCCCTGCTGGACGACCTCTGTAGGGGCTGTGGGGGAGCTAAGGGCACTCTCCACTTTCCCACCTTCACAAAGCCCACGACTCCCCCAGGTAGTGTGCAGAGCATAGGGCGGGCGCCCAGACTCCTGCACGGCCTGGTGAACGTACCCCAGGGTGCTGGCCTGCTCATCAAACGGCTCCCTTTCATTTCTAGAGCCCCACTTTGGACAGTAAGTCATATGGCCACCCCACTTAAAAACCCAAGAGCCCCAGGGAGAGGTCCAGGTAACAAGCCCAGGACGTGGCGGACTTGTTGAAGGAGACGAATGTTGGGGAGAGTGAAACAAGCTGTCTCTGTCTTTCACCCTTTTTTAGTTTGAGTTTTCCTGACCCAGCAGCAGGACCGGCCCTGCAGGTCCCCCGGGCCCCTTGGGCGAAGGCCATCTCCTCTGGGTGAAGCTCAGCTCAGCCCACAGGGCTCGCCTCCAACTCTTCCTGCTTTTCTCTCAGAAACTTGACGTAACGGTACCTTCCACACATCACAACCCCTCTGCCCACAGCTACACATGGTCAACTCACAACACCCAGGTAGGACTGTCCTGGTGTCGTGAGTCTTGTGGGGGATAAGGGTTTTCCACCAGGCAGTTTGGTAAGAGGAGGAGCCCAGACAAGGGCGGAGTGACGGGCAGCCAGGCTCAGGCTGGTTGGTCTTGCTCTGCCCAGAGCTGCCCACGTCAGGAACCCGGCAGGAAGCAAGACCGAGAAACCACAGGCCCCAGTTACCAACCATGTCTCTGACTCAGAAAGGAAGAGCGCAGCTGCCTTTGTAAAACCAGAGACAAAGATGTACTTGCACCACGTGTCCATGAGTCTGGGAACACGACCTCTGGGACAGACTGTGCCCCGGCAGTGGGGGTGTGAGGGTGTGGGCACACACACACTGGGGCGCTGGCCACCCCAGGGAGCGGCGGGACAGAGACAGCCAGGCCAGGCAGGGGGGCCAGCAAGAGGGCCCCACGAGGGCGACGGAAGCAGGCGCCACACTGACTGTCCCCTGAAGGGGAGCCCCCACTCCATCCAGGGGATCCCTCTCCACCCAAGGGAGCCCCCACTCCATCCAGGGGATCCCTCTCCACCCAAGGGAGCCCCCTCTCCATCCAGGGGAACACTCTCCACCCAGGGAAGCCCCCTTTCTATCCTGGGGAGCCCCCACTCCATCCTGGGGAGCCAGTGAGACAAAGGGGTAAGCCCATCCAAAGGCGGGGAGAGGAGGTGGGCTCACTAGCCAGTCAACACAGCACAGAGCAGGCAGGAGGCCCACGGAGGGCCCGGGCAACCCTGACATGGCAGACACTCCAGGAGACCCCAGGCCAGGCCTGACGGCACAGCGAGCAGACCACCCACCGACAGGCACTTTATTTTCCAAAGAACCAAGAAAACTGTACAGCAAGCGGTGGGAGGCTTCCAGCACTTTTTAGACAGGAATGAGACGGCTGACCGCGCAGTCAGGCAGAGCTGGACACCTGCTTGTGCCAAGGGGAAGCCCTGTGAGCCCTGCATCCCACCAGGCGCTGCACCGTGGGCGTGGCTCACCCTCGCCCTAGTCCAGTCCCGACCTGCCAGCGGCCCAGCCGGACGTGCAGCACAGGAGAGGGGCAGCGGCCTCAGGCCAGATCAGTTTATTTTGAGCTGCAGGGGACTGCACCTCCCTCGGTCCAACTTCCGTCCGCAGTGCGCTCAGGCCGAGCCGTCGTAGAAGGCCTGGGCCAGGGCCTGGGCGGCCCGCAGCACCCTCCTCTCCGGGGCGCCAGGCCCGATGTCGTCCCGCGCACACCTCAGCCAGTGCTGCTCCGTCCTGGGCAGGTAGTCTGCAAACAGCTCGCCTGGTGCCACCGAGGGGTGCTCCTCTTTGGTGGGGAAGGAGAGAGAAACATGTTCAGTGAGGAAGGGGCCCACGTCCTGCGGAGCGAGCGTGTGAGCACCCCACTTCCATGGAGGACTGCACGAGGAAAGAGCACAGGCCCCGCTCACAGCAGGTGCTCACACACCTTCCACACAGTGAGACACACACGCCAGCTGCCTGCCTCGGGGGCATGTCTACACAGCAAAGTGAAAGAAGTGAAAGACAGTGTTAGTCACTCAGTCGTGTGCGACTCTGTGCGACCCCGTGGACTGTAGTCCACCAGGCTCCTCTGTCCATGGGAGTCTCCAGGCAAGAATACTGGGCTGGGTAGCCATTTCCTTCTCCAGGGCATCTTCCCAACCCAGCGATCGGACCCGGGTCTCCTGCATTACAGGCAGATTCTTAACCATCTAAGCCACACAGCAAAGTAAGCTTTAACAAAGACTTAGTAAACTTTAAAATCTTGTTACCAAAAAAAAAGGAGGGGAGCTGTGAGCTTGGGGGAGCTGGCCCCTCCCCCTCCTCCCAATGTGCCCCCCACCCCCCGGCACTCACCCCCACCCTCCTCGCTGCTGTCCTCCTCCTCCTCCTCCTCCTCCTCCTCCTCCTCGGCCCCCTCTCCGCCACCCTCGGCACCCTCAGTCTCCTCGCTGTCCTCGTCCGAGTCGGTCTCCTCCAGCCACTCCTGAGATTCTTTAAGCAAAGGGGAAAATCAGTGTCAGCACGGCTGCCCCGAGGACGCCACCGTCTGCCTAAACACCGGGACGTGAGTGCAGGGCCCACCCAGCATGTCTGGGGCTCAAGGCCAACACCTCATCCCTGCGTCTCCCGGTAGGGCTGGGCCGAGGCTGTGCTCCCGAGACAGGAGGGTCTCACACTCAGCCACTCAGAGCCTCTCCCTACACGTGTGGATCTGAAGGTATCTCAGCCTCAGCCCAGGACTGAGCAGTGATCACGTCCATGCAGCCTGCCTGTGGTGTGACGGGGCGGTGGGGACCAGGGTCCACTCCGGGCACACAGGGCCCCTCGGGGAGGCAGGCATCCAGTCCACACTGCCTGGGGCGGGTCCAGGGTCACGAGTGGTGTTTGGGTGAGCCTACACCCTTCCCCTGGCCTGTAGGCACTCTCTGTGGGTGTGGGGTGGACGGCGCTCCCCCTCACCTGGGTCCATCTCTACCAAGACTGTCCACTCCTCCATCTTATGGAGGTCCAGGCAGTAGAGGTCACTGAGGGTCACCTGGCGGTCGCCGGCCTCAAACATGCCACCGTAGAGGTAGAGGCGCCCGTGCTTCACGGCCAGCATGGCGTTGGAGCGAGGGCTGGGCTCCACCGGGGCGACACCTGCCTCCTCGGGGCTGTCGTCGTCATCCGACTCCAGCTGTCCCACCGCTCCCGGGGCAGCGAGCACCTGTTTGATGGTGACCACGGTCCCGTCCTCTGAGACCACCTCCCTGACTACCTCCAGGGGCTCCTGGGCACTGGGCCCCTTCACTTCCTGCTTGTCGGCGCCCCCGGGCTCCGCCTTTCTGCCCCGCCTACGCCTCCTCTTCTCCGCCTTGGGCCCCTGCAGACAGAGAGCAGGCAGCACAATGAGGCGAGCGCCCGAGTGTCAGAGGACCCCTGTCCACCGCCGGGCTCACCCAGGGCCACACGCCCGCCGGTGTGACCTCTCGGAGGAACGAGCCACAGACAGCGCTCACGCCGTCCGACCCGTCAGAGGTGCCAGGGCACTTCGTCCGGAGCCAGTCTTCCCCACAGGGTGCACTGCCCCCCCTTTGGGCCCTAGGGCCCTGTTTCTGAGGCCCCCGACCTGACGCAGCCCCAGGGAGCTGAGCCCCAGGACAGCAGCCCCTGAGCCGCTCCCAGCCTGTGCTGGCAGCAAGGGCAGGGGCGACCCAGTCCCCGCCTTCAGTGACGGTGAAATGGTAACGATGGCTCCACAGAGCCCCACAGACACGGGGACAGGGGCGGCCCTGAGGTGAGGGAGGTGTCGCAGGTCCGGGGCCCACGCTACCTTCAGCTGCCCTGCGAACCAGCGGTTCCTGACAGGGTCATAGAAGTGCAGGTCGTTGAGGAAGTCCCCCTCCAGGCTCTCCTCCTCCTCCTCATCACACACCCCTCCGAAGAGCAGCGTCTGATGGTTTGGGGCCACAGCCACTGAGAATCCGGATCTCGGTGTGGGCTTGGCTCCAGAAGGGTTAATCCGTGTCCACGACCACTTGTCTGCCAAGAAGAGGAGGTGGGGACCCATGGACCCACAGGAGGGCGCAGCCGTGGTCTGTGCTGGGCCAGCCACCCCGGAGGTCATGCATCCTCCTCGAGGGCCAGTCTACGCAGAGGTCACCCGTCCACACAGCCTCCCGACATTCGCCTGGGGTACTGAGCAGTGGTGCTGTGAAGGCAGGCGTGAAAAGGAGGCTGGCCCGCTGCCGCCCCCCCCCCCCTCGCTGCACACCACGCCCTAGGGCGGGCCAGCACTGCAGTCCTTCCCTCTGGGCGGGCACTGCATTTGCACAATAACCCTCAAGAGGGGGTTGGGCGTGGAACGTGAGGGAGTCTCCCCAGCAGATTTTAGAAAAGGACAGGGATGTTTTTCTGTAATGAAGCGACCCACAGCAAGCATCCCCTGGAGGCACGACCCCAGTTGCATGCATTAGCAGGCCATTAAGATCACTCTTGACAACCAGCGGCTCAGTGTTTAAATAAGAGAGTTTCAGCGTGCCTCGCATGGGGGGGGGGTACTCCCCCAACTCTGAAAGGGCTAGGGTTCCACTGCCTAGAACACAGTCCACTTTCAAGTGCAGGTTCGCTGACAGGTGAAAGGGGCTCTAGACTTTGGCTCCACGTCCCCATCACCTCTGCACCAGAGAAACGCCTTGTACAGAAAGAACGTCACAGCAGGAAAGAGGACAGGTCCCTGCCCAGCAGGCCTCTGGTCCCGCAGAGACGTGCGTCCCAGGGCCAAGGGGCAGCCCAGGACGAGACAGGCCCCGTCCTGTTAAGCCTCTCCCACCACTGGCACCATGCCAGCTAACCGCCTCCCCCACAACTCCCTTGTTTTTTGAGAAAAGCCAGTATAAAGCACTGTTACAGCAATAATAAAACTTAAACTCATATGTAGTGCAGGGGATGGCAGTAGGGTCGGGGAGGAGGTAGTGATTTCTCTCACCAAATCACTAGTTTTTGAGCTTTAAAAAATGGAAAATGGGAAGACACCTAAATGACTACTGACAGAAGAAATGGATGAAGATGCAACACATACATACACACAATGGAATATTAGTCATTAAAAAAAATGAAATAATGCCATCTGTAGCAACATGTATGGGCCTAGAGATGATCATACTGAGTGAGATAAATATCACACGGTATAGTTTATGTGTGGAATCTAAAAATGAATACAAATGAACTTACTCACAGAACAGAAACAGACTCACAGACATAGAAATAAATTTAGGATTACCAAAGGGGAAGGTGTGGAGAGATAAATTAGGAGTATGAGATTAACAGACACACGCCACTATGTGTAAAATCAACAGAGACCTACTGTGGAGCACAAGACCTCAGTCAGTATTTTACAACCTGTAAAGAAAAACCGTCTGAAAAGCAACAGATATACTTAGATATAACTGAATCACTCGGCTGAGTACTTGACACTAACACAGCATTGAACATTAACTATACTGCAATTAACAAAAAAGAACAGTGGTGACTTCAACCCCACCATAAGCCTTCCAGGAGTCTACGTCCTAACACTGAGCATGAAGAAATGAGCTGACACAGGCACCGTGGGTGGACCAACACCACCAGGGTTTTTAACTCAGTGCATCCTCGGTGCCCCGGAGGGGATGTGGGAGCTGTTCGCAGGCGTCCACTGGCCTGCCCGCAGGCGAGGGGGCACGTGCAGGGGCTCCCCGCCAGCCCCAAACCCTCTGCCTGCCTTTCCGCCAACACACAGCCGCCCACGTGGCTTGTCCCTGGCACAGCACACATACCTTCTCTCCCCTCCTCAGCCTTCAGCAAGAACATGTCGGAGTGCTGGGTGCCTCTGTCCACATCTTTCCTGACTCTCTGCAAAAGGAACAGGGAGCCGTGAGAAGAACACGTGCCATACCATGCCATGCATGGCCCCTCAAGCTCGTGGTCCCGGTTCCTGTGGAGGAGACACAGGAGACTTCACTCAGATCAGCTTCAAAATCTGAAACAGGACAGGTTCCCTCCAAGCCCCCCAGAGCCCTCTGCTCAGGGCCATACCTGCGGCCGAGAGGCGAGCCCTGCTCAGGGTGGATGGGCTGGCGCAGGGACCTCTCCAGTCATCACATGGCCCTCCTCCACCTTCACCCCATGTGCCCTCCATCCCCATCACCTCCGAATATCGGGACTCAAGCTTTGGTCCAAGGACCAGATGAAACTCTGTGCAGACGCCAGCATACCCGCCCGAAAGCTTTGCTGAGCTTCTCAGCAGCGCCGCCGGCCTCACACCAGGCTCACGGCCTGGGCAGGCAGACACTGTGGCTCTCTGGAGCACACCCAGTGTGCACACTGCACCTCCCCCTCAGGGCACAGGCGTCTGGACGGCGACCTGGCAGTACAACTCTCCTGGGGGGCTCCAGCTGCTGGGGGCAGCAGCTTTTACTTCCAGGTCTTTGTCCTTCAAACTCCCGATTTTTAATAAACTCTTAACTCCAGACTATTTTTATGTTTACAGAAAACCTGAGCAGCTGGTACGGAGTTTCCATATGCCCTGCACTGTTCCCCTTCCTGTTGACCCCCTGCCTTCATGGGTGTGTGTGCACCATCAGTGAGCCATACCTGAGCCAATGGCTCACTCACACTCCTGTTCCCCCCAAAATCCTTCTCCTGTCCCAGGGCCCACTAGGCTGTCGTGGATCCTTTGGCCTCCTGGGCCATGAAGACTGCTCAGACTGGCTTGTTTCTGGTAACCCTGCCGTTAAGGAGTGCTGGTCATGTGTCCTGTAGAGCGCCCTCCACTGGGACCTGTCCGACACTGTTCTCATGACTGGACAGGCTATGGGTTCCGGGTGGGGTCTCAGAGGTCAAGTGCCCTTCCATCCCACCCTCCCAAGGGTGCATGCTGTCACCATGACCGCCATCGCAGACGTGGACCTGGGTCAGCTGGCTGAGGTGTTCATCGGATTTCTCTGTGGTCCAGTTACCGCCCCCACCCCAACTTCCCAGCCTGTCCTTGTGGGAAGAGCATCCCTGTGTGCAGCCCCTTGTCATGCTCCACCTCCTGGAGGGTGGAGGGTCTGCCCTGGGCTGGAACAGTGCACAGGGCATCTGCCTCTCCTCCCCGTGTACTGAATTTATTCAGTCACTGGCTTGTGATCACATGCACCCGTGCACCGTTGGGTCTCCTCTGGACTACAGTCTGATACCACTTGACTCATCCCACTGCTCACATGCTTCCAGCTCTGGCCCCTGGGGACTCTCGAGGGCAGGTCATGAGCCCCTGATGCGCCCCACTGGTGCAGGTTTCTTGGGTTTCCTGGGCCCCGGCACTGTTCACACACTTCCTGCCCTAGTTCTGGAATCAGCCACTTCCCCACAGAACCCTGTGACTTCATTGGACAGTCCTAGAATCCCAAGTCTGGGTGCGAGGCCTTATCACTGGGCAGTATGGTTTTGTTCTCTCAGCTGACGTGCGCAAATTCATCTTGTCTTGTTTACTAATGAGTTCGTGTTGTTTACTGTAAGGGGGAAAGCTATCTTCCTTTTGGAAAACAAAACAATCCACCTGTCTGTGACTGGACTGTGGCCTGAGCATCCTAGAACCAAGGACGAGACCGGGACCCTGCCTCCTCTTTCGTCTGCGGGGACTCTCACAGTCAGGCGGCCAGCCTATGCACACCACAGTCCCCGAGACAGTCCTCCCGTCCTGCAGGCTGACCAGGAAGTGGCTGCCACTCCCAGGCCCACCCTCCAGGCCAACGCCCTGCACTCACAGGAGCTAAGCCCACACTGAGGCCTCACCCGCGGGGACACTTAAGGGAAGTTGGCACCGCAGACGGATCACTAGAAACCAATCACAGCGCCAGTGCAGCCCTTCCCTCTCCTCCCGTCGTCCTCCCGCACCTGTGGTATCCGTGGTGTTGCTCTATCTTTCCTAGACCAATAAGCGGAGCGGGTCTACCTGGCCGTCATGTGTAAATACACCCCCTGTGGCCTATAAGCCAGAGCCCCTCCCAAGCAGACGCTCTGCCAGCCGGGTCTATGGCTTCCACAGAGCAGCCAGGGTGCAAGGATGCTACAGCTGTCGGGGCTCCTCCCGAAGTGTGCAACGCCCCCATTCCACCCCCGATCCACATGGGGGTGACTGGAGGCCACCGTGCGCTGGCTTCTCCTGTGGTGGCCTGTGCGGTCCTTCCAGGTGACACGCAGCACGCTGGCACGACACTCAGCTGTGCTGGAAGAGGACATGGGATGGGCCTGACTCCTAGGGGCTGTGGCGTGTCCACCCAGGGTCTCAGCTCTCCTTCTGGGTGAGCAGACGTTAACTCCACAGAGTGGTGACTAGGGCGTGCACTTCACACAGGATTCCTTCCTCTGCTCACACGGACATCTGAGAGACATGTGCCAAGCGTGACAGCGCTAAGCTGTCACAGCACAACCATCAGGGACCCCAGAGCCCAGGACAGCCTGTACACACACCCCACACCCTCCTGCCTGGACCACGAGCTCTGGACATGTGTCCTGAGTCTCCTACTGCCCCAGGCTCACACTCAGAGCCGAGCCCTTCAACTGTCAGCAGGAGACAGCCCTGGCCAGGCTCCCGACTTTGGTGCACCTGGTCCCAGCAGGGGACGCGCTCTGGCGCTCCAAGGGCAGCACTGCAGTGGACCAGACTCCCGGCCACTCTTAAGAAAGGACTCCAACAGCACTGGGGGAGGACTGGAGCGGGGGCGTGGGAGCACCAAGATGAGGGGGACAGAGCTGCCAGGGAGGGGCCAAGGGCCCCCATGTCACTCCTGGCCTGAGCGCTGACACAGCAGCAGCCTGACAGCGGAGCAGGAGGCCTGGTCAGCATGGGGGGACACCAAGGGAGGCCAAGGGCACGATGGGCCGCCTCGCAGCAGGTGGACGGACAGCCCTACTGTGTGTGCTGGAGGCGCCCTCTGGACAGGCCAGGACGCACTGCAATAAACCTGCCAGGACTGCTTCTTGGCTCTGTGTCCGGAAGAGTGAGGCACATGGGGCCTTCCTCCGCCTGCCAGCATGACCGCCAGCCAGAAGCCGCCCTCAGCACCTTGGCAACAAGAGGTCAGTCTTTATCACCACTTATCACTGGTTCTGCTAGACTGACAACGGCAGGAATTTTTCAGAACTGGGGGTGATGATGGCTGAGGTCCCCAGATGGACTGTTTGTGGAACATGGAAGCCACCACGAGATCTATCCTCATGAGCTAAGGGCTTGGTGGTACAGGCTGCCTCACTGGATGCTGCCCAGCTCAGCCAGACACCCCGGGCTGGGTGGTGACCTGGGCAGGAGGAGCCACGTGCTGCTCCTGTGACTAGTGTCCCCACCCAGACCAACCACACCATCACATCCACGTCTTTCATCAATTCTGGTAAACCACCATGAGGGCAAACAGACCAGCTTCTCACTCCATCCAATGCCAAGGCCTGGCGTCAGTCGCCTCTGAATCGTAGTGCTAGGACTGCCCCCTTGCTGTGCAGCTGTCAAAGACCAGCAGTGGGGAATGAGGGCCTTGATTAAAACAGGGTCAGCCTAATGCAGCTTGCTGTTCGTCATCCTGTTTGGCTCTGCGGAGCATCTGCTGTGATTAAGAGGCAACTCTGGCCACAGCCCATGTCTCTCACGTCTGGACAAGGCCCGGGCAGGTCACAACTGTCCGTTTTCTTTTCCAGAGCAAGGGATGACCACTGGCTGAGTGGGGGTGGCGCAGGGCAGGAGGAGGAGAAAGGGCCACCTTGTGGCACGTGGGTGAGAACACAGCAAGGCTATACAGAACCTCAGTGCGTTCACAGGAGTGGACAACACACCTCTGTCCATGTCTCATCTAAATAACAGAAAAGACCGTTCACGTTAAACTAACATGCAATCTTATTTGAGGTTCTCATCATCGGCAAGACTGAAAGCACAGCAGACAGAAGTCCCCTGCATCCCTCACGTCTTACCTGTTTTGAGTAGCCACCATAGATGATGATGCTGCCCTGAGGGGTGACGGTCATCTGGCAGCCCGACCGGGGTGTGGGCCCAGTCCCGGATGGGGACAGCTTGCTCCATGTAAAAGTGTCCAGGTTGAAGGCATACACATCATTGTAATAGATGTAATCTCTGTTGTAATACAAGAACAAAAACAAAGAGGCAGCAACATGAAAATGTGAACTTCGTTTAAAATAGAGGTACCTTTCCTACACATTGTGCTTTCTGAGGCATTCCAAAAGGCACGGTGGTCCTGCTCACTCCACACTCCTGGACTTCAGAGGCAAAGTGCTCAAAACTCAGATGGGGTCTTGAGAAGGGAGAGTATGGGGAAGGGTGGGTCTGCCCAAGTCACACACAGGGGGAATGGTGTCCTGAGGGAAGGTCAGAGGCAGCCACAGGCAAGGGGCTCAGGTCAGAGTCACATGATGAGAGAGCTGGGCCTGCTTCCGCAGGAAGGACGCACGGACACGTGGAAGGAACAAGCAGCTTCACCCCTTAGACATGATTCCTGTCACTCCTGCTGCACTCGGGTCACCCAGGCCTCGGGCCCTGCGCCCACATGCAGGCCACTGTGGCCCTGGGAGACCCATCCACAGCAGGGCATTGGGAATAGGACAGGGGCACATGTGAACTCTCTGACCGGCACCCACCACCAAATGCACCCTTCCGTGGGAGCAAGGCTTTCAGTAGGTGAACTAAGGAAGCTGGGGGCTCAGTTCTTAAAAGACCATCACATTCCACTGTTTTCTCAGATTTCACATGGCAGATATCTAGCAGAAAAATTCTGCATGTAGGATAAATAAAAACTGTATTTGGGTTCTGAAGGTTGAACTAATTTGTTTGATACAGATGGTGACCACACAGATTATCTCTTCGAGAAACTTTAAATTTTTTCTGTACTCTTGAAATACTTCATAAACAGTCATTTTAACAATTATGAAGAATCCCACAACAGGGACAGCAGAGCAGTAAGCCAACCTCAGGGCCCGCCTGTGCGACTGCCCAAGCAACGTGCCCGTGCTATCAGCCCTGGATTAAGGTATGGGCGGCGTCCTCCACGTGTGTTCCAAGCGGATCTTCCCGTAGAGAGGCTGCCTCCTTACTGTGCCAGGAAAGAGGACCCTCCTGTTGGTACTGACCTTGTACTCTCGTGGAAGCCACCAAAAAGTATCAGCTGTCTCTTCCAGGCCACCATCCGATGTCCACTCCGGCCTGAAGGACCACCTGGTGACCTAAATTGAAAAAACACAAAAAACAGGTGCTTGGCAGGCGGAGGAGGAGGACCTGGAGCTCGTGAGCTCCCACAAACACATCAAAGCACGTCTACACGTGGAACGACTCAAACAGAGCATCCACTAAGTGCCAGGCAGAAGACCTCAGGCTTTCAAAAACGTGAGAAAACCTCCACGTAACCAGGCAGGAGAAAAGAAAAAAGCAAACAAACTAAACGGATGTGAAAAGGGACCCACAACCGTGGAGGGGCTGAGGAGGGGGAGAGGCTCTGCACCCGAGGCAGGCCCCTCACCGACGGGGAGACCAGCCTGGACATAGGAGGGGCTTTGGAGCCTCAGAGAAGAGCACAGGACCCAGCAAGCAGAAGGCACAACAGGTGACCTGCACGGCAGGGGGACCGCCACCCTGCACGGCCCAGCCTCAGACGCGTGTCCACAGGTGTGTGCAGGGGCCTTGTGCTTGATGCCTGGGCATCGGAGGTCAGGCTCAGGGGCAGGATCGGGCTTAGCTGCAGAGACAGCCTGCAGAGGCTGGACTGTGGCCACCGAGGGAGCACTGGGAAGGAGCCCAGGCCTGCCAAAGGCAAGGCGCCACTGCTAGGGCACACAGAGGAGGGGCAGGACCGCCACAGGGCTCCCGTCCTTGCACACATACTCTCAGCGAGCAGGACGCACCCACATGAGCTCCACAGACGCGTGGGCGTCGCAACAGCTAAGACACCCACGGGCAGGCCCAAGCGCTGCCCTCACCACCACGGGATCCACGAGCAGGCACCAGGCACTGCTCCCACTGTACGAGGACACAGTCCACCACTACTGTCCAGAGACCCGCGAGCACGTGACAAGTACCGGCCCCCTCCACATGGGAAGTGCGCACGGGGTGTGCCAGGCGCCAGTCACTGTCCTGGCCGTCGCAGGAGCCCGCAGGCCGACACCTCTGAGAGACTCGGAAGCAGGCGCTGGCCACTGCCCCACCACGTCAGGAGTGTGCATGGGCCACAGCACCTGCACCCCCGTGCCGAGGGGATGGCGGCCAGCACACACCAGGAAACGGGCAGCAGGCGTCCAGACTGAACAAAGAGCCCGCACGCTGCAACACAGACCCAGTGCAGCCCAGTAAGCACACATCGTTTAAAGAGTCTTACAGATAAGCAAGTTCAGTTCAGCCACTCAGTCGTGTCCAACTATTTGCGACCCCATGGACTGCAGCACACCAGGCCTCCCTGTCCATCACCAACTCCCAGAGCTTACGCAAACTCATATCCATCGAGTCAGTGATGCCATCCAAACGCTAAGGTAACTTAGCACCACCAAACCAGCTTTATGACAAATGTTAAAAGAACTTCTCTAAGCAGAAAAGCCCGTTAACTAGAAACAAGAAAATTATGAACAGAAAAGCTCATCAATAAAGGCAAACACACAGTGAAGGTAGGAAATGACCCACACACAAATATGACACCAAACTCAGCAATCGTGAGGAGAATATAAATGTAGGATATTGGAAGTGCATTTGAAATTACTATACTAGCAACTTGAAACGATCCTGTATATGTACAGACACAGACTACTTTATCAAAGCCTCACAAGGGAGACTCCTCGTTGGCACGGTGGACAGGAATCCGCCTGCCAATGCAGGGGACACAGGTTCGATCCCTGGTCTGAGAAGATCCCACATGCCGTAGAGCAACTAAGCCCAGGTACTGCAACTACCAAAGCCCATGCACTCTAGAGCCCGTGTGCTGCAACTACTGACACCATGTACTGCAGCTGGAGAGTCCACATGCCACATCTAAGACCCAAACCAGCCAAATAAACAGTTGTTTAAAAAACTCACTTATGTAACAAATTGCCAGCCACAGGTGTTAGCTTCTGCAAAAATCCTCCAATGCATTAAATGACACACTAGAGTAGATGGGATTAAGTGATATTTATACAACATCCCACCTGAAAGCAGCAGAATACACATTCCTCTCAAGTGCACACAGAAAGTTCTCCAGGACAGATCACAAGCTGGGTCACAAAGCAAGCTGTGGTAATTTTAAGAAAACCTGAAATCATATCAAGCTTCTTCTCAGACCACAACGCTATGAGATAAAAATCAATCCTAAGAAGAACTTTAAACACAAACATGTGGAGGCTAAATGTTATTAAACAACCAATGTATCACTGAAGAAATCAAAGGGTAAATTAAAAAAAAAAACCTAGAAACAAATGACAACAAAAACATGGCAATCCAAAACTTATGGGACGTGGCAAAAGCAGTTCTAAGAGGGAAGTTTAGAGCAATACAATCTTATCTCGGGAAACAAGGAAAGTCCCAAACAAAAAACCTAACCTTACACTGAAAGCAACTGGAGAAAGAAGTAGAAACAAAACTGGAATTAGCAGACGGAAAAAGCATAAAGAACAGAGCAGAAATAAACGTAATAAAAAGGAAAACAACAGAAAAGATTGATGAAACTAAAAGCTGATTCTCTGAAAAGATAAACAAAACTGATAAGCCTTTAGCCAGACTCACCAAGAAAAAAAGAGGGGTCAAATCAATAAAGTGAGAAACGAAAAAGGAGTAGTTACAACTGACATCATGAAATACAAAGAATCACAAGTAACTACTTCAAGCAACTATATGCCAATAAAATAAGACCACCTGGAAGAAATGGACAGACTCTTAGAAAGGTTCTAACTTTTCAAGACTGAACCAGGAAGAAGCAGAAAATATGAACAGACCAATCACAAGCACTGAAACTGAAACTGAGACTTAAAAACATCCCAACAAACAATAGTCTAGGACCAGATGGCTTCACAAATCAATTTTACCAAACATTTAGAGAAGAGTTAACACCTACCCTTCTGAAACTATTCCAAAAAACTGCAGAGGAAGAAATACTCCGAATTCATTCTATGGGGCCACCATCACTCTAATACCAAAATCAGACAAAGATACCATTAGGAAAATTACAGGCCAACACCACTGATGAACATATACACAAAAATTCTCAACAAAATACTAGCAAACTAAATACAACATATTAAAAGGATCACACACCATGATCAAGTGGGATTTATCCCAAGAATGCAAGGATTTTTCAACATTTGCAAATCAACCAGTGTGATACACCACATTAACAAACTGATGAATAAAAACTATATAATCATCTCAATAGATGCAGAAAAATCTTTTGACAAAACATCTCCAGAAAGTGGGCACAGAGTGAACCTAACTCAACATAAAAAAGGCCATATATGACAAGCTCACCGCTAACATCATTCTCAACAGTGAAAAGCTAAAAGCATTTCCTCTAAAATCAGGTACAGAACACGGATGTCCACTCTTGCCACTTTTATTCAACACAGTTTTGGAAGTCCTAGCCATGGCAATCAGAGAAGAAATTAAAAGGAATCCAAATTGGAAAAGAAGTAATTATCTGTCAGTATTTGCAGATGACAAGCTACTACATACAGAAAATCCTAAACATGCTAACAGAAAACTACAAAAAAAAGAAAAGAAGACTAGTAGAGCTCATCAATGAATTCATTAAGGTTGTAGGATACAAAATTAACACACAGAAACCTGTTGCATTTCCATATACTACAATGAAAGATCACAGAGAAATTAACAAAGCAATCCCATTTAACACCACATCAAAAAATAAATAAATAAAATACCTAGGAATAAATCTACCTAAGGAGACAAGAGACCTGTACTCAGAATATAAGACGGTGATGAAAGAAACTGAAGATGCGGTGGGGGGCAGGAATTGAAACCAATACAAACAGATGGAAAGATATACCATGTTCTTTGATTGGCAGAATCAACGTTGTCAAAAAAAGGATACTACCCAAGGCAATCTACAGATTCAGTGCAATCCATATTGAATTACCAAGGGTGCTTTTCATAGAACTAAGATTTTCATATTTGTATGAAAACACAAAAGACCTCAAATAGCCAAAACAATCCCGAGAAAGAGAAATGGAGCTGGAAGAACCAGACTTCCTGACATCAGACTATACTACAAAGCTACAGTAATCAGAGCAGTGGGGTACTAGTGAAAGAATTAACAAGTGAGTGGAACAGAAAAGACAGCCTAGAAACAGATTTCCTAAGTACTGTCAACCAGGACTTCCCTTGTGCTCCAGTGGCTGAGTCAGCCTGCCGCGATTTCAGGGAAGGCCGTGCATGCCATGAGGCAACAACTAAACCCATGTGCCACACCTACTGAACCCATGCACAGCAACTACTAAAGCCCACTTGCCCTAGAGGCCATGCTCTGCAACAAGACAAGCCACTGCAATGAGAAGCCTGCAAGCCTGCACACCGCAATAAAAAATGGTCCCTGTTCAACGCAAGGAGAAAGCCTTTGTGCAGCAAAGGACTCAGCACAGCCAAAAACTAACTAATCAACTTTTTAAAAGTACAGTCGACTGATCTTTGACAAAAGAGCAAAGGCAATACAATGGAGCAGACAGTGTCTTCAAGAAATGGTGCTGGATCAACTGGATGTCCACATGCAAAAGAATGAACCTGAAAACAAACCTTCTGTGTCCTTTTGCAGACCTTTTGCAAAAAATACTCAAAATGGGTCACAGGCCTACATGTAAAATAAATGACAGACAAGCTGGCTTCCCAGATTGCTCAGTGGTAAAGAATTCGCCTGCCAACACAGGAGATGCAGGAGACTTGGTTTCAATCCCTGGGTAGCGAAGATCTCCTGGAGGAAGAAAAGGCAACCCACTCCGTATTGCTGCCTGGAGAACCCCATGGACAGAGGAGCCTGGTGCACTACAGTCCACAGTAGTCAGACTGAAGTCTGTAGTCAGTCCACAGAGTCACAAAGAGTCAGACACGGCAGTAACTGAGCACGCATGCAAGCTGGACTGTACTAAAATGTAAAACTTCTGCTCTGCAAAATATGTATCAAGAGAATTAGAAGTCACAGTCTGGAAGAAAATATTTGCAAAAAACACACCTGATAAAGGACTGTTATCCAAAATACACAAAC